CTCATGCAATTTCTAATGTTTTATTCAAAATACATGGTCCAAATGTTAATCCCAATATAATCAATATCAGGGGACCTGCTATCGTTGACAGTAGGGTTGTAAGCCAGGGGGATCGACTAAACCAAGATCCATACCAACTGCGTTGTACCTCTCGTTCGTCCCAATCCTTCTCGGAATTTGGTCATAGTATCCCGTGCCACCCCTGTGTGATGTGCATATGTACAACACCCTTCCTTAAGTGCTGCACATACCCCTCCTTGTTGTAAATACATTAAATCTAGTCCTCTTCGGTTTTGTAAGACCACTTCTGACACGACCTAAGGGATCTTTCTAAAGCCCTTGTTGATTGTTCAATTCTTACCAGCTCCTTGTCCACTGCTATCCTCAGTGCTTTAAACTCTTGGCTTTGTTGTATCAATGAGGTTCCTCCTGTGCCTACTCCCATGCCCCCCAAGATCATTAAAGTGGCTATTGTTAATGCAGTGAATGGCTCTCCTTTAGTCAGGTGGTGTTCCTGAGTAATGTATGCATCGGAAATGAAGCTCCCAGGGTGATAAAAGATTTTAGGGACTATTGTTCCTTGAACACAGAAGTCTGAGGATCCATTACAATGTTTTAACGACAGGCAAGGTGTAACTCCTATAGCGGAGCAAACCCACTTGGTGTTATCAGCTGGTACTAGCCATTTTGCAGGTTTTTGGGGTCTTTTTGACCCTTTTCTATCAGTATTGGCACATAACCTCTTGTTGTGTTCTGGAATTTTTCCTATAGACAAGCCTTTTCCCGTCACTTGGGTTAAGGTGATTCCTGGTTTTTCCATGTCCCACATACACTGTGCCGGGTTAGTACCATTTAGGCGTCTAGGTTTCCTAGTTACTCCCACAGCCTCATAAAAGGGTGGTTTCACCCCGTAACACAACCAACAGTGTTCCGTAAGATTTGGATTGGTTTTGTTCAACACCAAGTAACTAGCGTGCATCAACTTCCAAAGGGGATTATTCTCAGGGGTTTCATTAGGGGTTGGGTTATTCCCAAGGGTTTCATCAGGAGTTTGGGGGATTCGAGTAATCTTCATTTCAGGAGTTATTGTTCAGTTAGTATCTGGTTAGGGCCTACCGGCAGTGGATCATTTGGGACTACTTCCTTTTTTATGAGAATTAAACCACCCTTATCTGTCCCTGGTTCCGTATACCTCACTCCCCACACTCTTCCAGTTATCCACCCTACGTCTCCAGGGCTGGTGACATTTAAGAAGAGGTATTTACAGTTTCCACGTCCTCCCCACCCTTGTGGTGGTCTGCACCCATATGGACCCCACTGAACCTTTAGGTACTCGTCTATACCACTACCCGGTATCCAAGCAGGGGCTATAGTCTCACAACCCCAATAACTGCAGTAATATTGATTAGGGTAGTTACAATATCCCTTTCCAGGATTCGAACTAGGGCACATATAGAATCCCATGTACTCCCAGCATCGGGATCTCGGGACAAGCTGACATAGGGTAGTATTAAAGCTTGGTTCTCCCGCTGTTGTTTGGGTTGCGATAACCTGTTGATCTTCAAATCGGAGTAGGGTCCACTTAAACAGTTGGTGGGGTTGGTAGTTCATTCCCTTAGCCCATGTTTGTGGTAGACATATTACGAGTAGAATAAGCAGTATGTCTAGGATGTGCCAAAAAGGGTGGAATCCTTTCCATTTCTCCGTTGTTAATGGTTTTGGATCAATTATACTACTATTATCCCTCCAATTAGAACCTTGGATAGACTTTTTATAAGGGACTTTCAAGTCCTTTTGAGCAGTGAGGCGGTTCTTCCAGTACTCCCGTGTAGCTCCAACGACAAGAGTCAGTTCTCCACAGTATTTCACCTCTCTACGTCGCTCGTCGACTCGGTTGCTTCGAGCCACGAGGGATAGCATCTTCTCGGTAGCAGGGGTAGCCTGCAGGAGAGGGAGTGCTATTTCGGGTGTTTGCCTCCCTTTATACAGCTCCCTTACCCGGTTCCTTTTTGGAGTAATATTTGGATGTATTCAATTGATATATATATAACTCAATATATTCGATTACCACCGTTCTCGGCACTCCTGCAGACAACTGCTTTCACACCAATCTCAAAACGTTATTGCTGTTATTACATCTCCTAGTGCCCTCTATGTCCATTTAAACCTTCTCGAGGGTGACTTTCAGACCTCCAGGTGGGCTCACAACTTCCCAAGACTGGTGCGAGTCTCTGACAGGTCCTTTTACACGGCTCGCATGAGTCCAACCCTTCTCTGCCGTCCGGATGGCGGTTTCTGTGGTGAGTAAAACAAGACAGGGTCCTTCCCAGTGAGGGATTAATGGGGATTCCTTCCAAGTTTTAATTAATAACCTATCCCCGGGTTTTATAGAATGAATATGCATATTTAAAGGAGGTCGTTGAGATATCATACCTCGCTTATGTAACTCCTCTCTTCGTTTGGGCGTATTTTTACTTGTTCCTCTATATTACATATACAATCGTGATCAATCTTGAGTCAGTTCCACATATAAAAATTGGGCAGGGTTTTGGAGGCTCGTGCTTTCTAATTCCAAACTAGGAGAAGAAATTAGAATTCCTTTGTATTTGAGGAGCCCCAGTATCAGTAATCCATTTGTCAGCCTTTTGTTGTAGTACTCCCCGAATGTTGTGGGGCGATAAAACCTTTAATTCCCCCCCGAATGTAATTTTTCTTGCTTCTACAGTAGCCACCACGGCTTGTAAGCAGGTCGGCCGCTCTCTACTGACTGGATCTAACAATTTTGATAGATATCCTATAGGTTTTTTCCATCCAGCCCAATCCTGTGCTAAAACCCCATACCCAGTACCCTCGTCTACGTTTACAAACGACTAAAAAGGTCTTTTCAGCTCAGGTAAACTTAGGACGGGTGCATTGACTAAATCCTCTTTCAGCTCCTGTAGCAGAGTCTCGTCTGATTCGGTCCATTTTAATTGGCCATCTTTGGTTAATTCTGCATATAAAAACTTAACCTTTTTACTATAGTCTTCTATCCATTGCCTACAATACCCAAGTAAGCCGAGCAATTGCCGTACCTGTCTCTTAGCAGTCGGGGCTTTTGGAGATAATATACCAGTAAGTCCCTCTGGATCTAGTTTCTTTGTTCCTTTGCTGAGCCAGTGTCCCAGATATTTTACTTCCTCCTCCACAAACTGCAATTTTGATTCAGATACTTTCAATCCTTGTAAACTTAAAAAGATTTAATAATCTAATACTTTCTCGCCGAACCTCCTCCTCTTGTGCTCCCTTACTCTCTTTCTGTCCCATCTTCCTCAGTCTTTCATCTGCCCTCTCCCCGTGGCCCAGTCCCTCGCGGGAGATGGGAACTGCACTACCAAGAGGTCCACACTCGCTTCGCCCGTACCTGGACATCTCATCACGCACACACCGGGATCCCAACCCCAACCGAACGCATCCCAGTTTCGCAATATACTCACGTCGTTTCCGTCCTCCTCGTTCGGGCTTCGTGCACAAAATTAAGGGGTCGCCGGCTTCACCTTTTATCTGCCATCGAGTTTTAGGTCCGGCGGTGGAGAAGCCAGCGGAACGAACCGCAAACAGGGGGCCACTCCTGAGAGTGGGGCAGCCCCCCCCGAGGATGTGAGTCCCGTCAGAACGTCTCCATCCGAGTCACAGCACCGATTTGTTACCGATGAATGAGCCAATCTCGTTTTAAAACATGAATTTTATCAAACTGAGCAAGCGAGAGCAGGTAAAACCCAGCGCTGGGTGCGCCGGGGAGGCCTCCGCTGCGCCCAAGAGGCACGGCGGGTCCCTGCGAGGTTGTCCTTTATACTGCTCGCATCAAGGCTTCAGCCAATCCTGCTGTTCCTCGTCGCTCAGACGGTGACGTGGCTCTTCCCCATTGCTCCCAGAGGTTGGGGAAGCGCCCGTTACCAGCCTCATCATTATCGCAACCTCCATCCCTTGTATGTTGCAACAAGACAGAACTTTGGACTACCTAACCCCCCTTTGCCTTCGCATCATCTTGTGTACTAACACAACTGACTTGCCCTTTAGAACTCACGAAGCACAATAGTTACAAAACAAAGAAGGAATCTGGTTCCACACAGTGATGGTTACAGAGGGTTTCTTTCCCTTTAAACTTGATGAACAAACCCCACACATTACACCATCGCCCCCAATCCCGCTCCCATCGCCCACAGTCCACTCCCATCGCCCCCAATCCCGCTCCCATCACCCCCAATCCCGCTCCCATCGCCCCCAGTCCGCTCCCATTGTCCCCAATGCCGCTCCCATCGCCCCCAATCCCGCTCCCATCCCCCCTAGTCCGGTCCCATCGCCCCCAACCCCGCTCCCATCGCCCCCAATCCCGCTCCCATCCCCCCCAGTCCGGTCCCATCGCCCCCAACCCACTCCCATCACCCCCAATCCCGCTCCCATCGCCCCAATCCCGCTTCCATCGCCCCCAATCCCGCTCCCGTTGCCCCCAATCCCGCTCCCGTCGCCCCCAATCCCGCTCCCGTCGCCCCAATCCCATCCCATCGCCCCAATCCCGCTCCCATCGCCCCAATCCCGCTCCCATCGCCCCCAATCCTGCTCCCATCTCCCCAATCCCGCTCCCATCGCCCCAATCCCGCTCCCATCGCCCCAATCCCGCTCCCATCGCCCCCAATCCCGCTCCCATCGCCCCAATCCCGCTCCCATCTCCCCAATCCCGCTCCCATCTCCCCAATCCGCTCCCATCGCCCCCAACCCCGCTCCCATCGCCCCCAATCCCGCTCCCATCGCCCCCAATCCCGCTCCCATCGCCCCCAACCCCGCTCCCATCGCCCCAATCCCATCCCACTGCCCCCCCCCCCCACCGCGCATGCGCAGGCTTCGGCTCGGGCTGTACCACCCCGCACCCACACAGAGGGGTGTGTGAAGAGGGTAACCGCATCTTCCCTTCCACCTCCCGAGCCGCTCCGGCTCCCGCTCGCCCTCAGCCCCCGCAGCCCCATCGCGGCTCCCCCGTCACCGCATCCTGCTCCGCCTCGGTGCTTCGGGGCACGGAGTTCGGTGCGAGCCGAGTGGTACGTTCCGCTCGCCGCGGCGCCGGCGCTGGGCGGGACCGGCCCCACGCCTCTTCCTCCGCGCCCGGCCGCCGCCATGAGGTGAGGGGAGCGCTCTGTGGGGCTCGGGGCGGGTTCAGCGGCCACGGAGGGGGGATACAGCGGGGAGCCGGGGCTGGGGTCTCGGTAACGGGGAGAGGCTTCGGTAACGGCGGGGTCCCGTGGCCCCTGGGGCGGCTGCGGCCTCCGCGGGGGGAAAATGGCGGCCGCGGTGAGGGGAGGGGAGGGGGGGAAATGGCGGCTGAGGGGAAGCTGAGGGAGGAGCGGGGCCAGGGCAGGGCTCGGCCGCTTGTGGTGGGCACTGAAGGGGCTTTGAGGTGCTGGAGCGGGGCCTGGAGGACAGCGTGGTGGGGAACGGCTGAAGGGACCTGATGGCTCCCTACAAGTGCCTGACAGGAGGATGGAGCCAGGAGGGGCTGGGCTCTGCTCCCAAGGGATGGGATAAGGGGAACCGGCCTCAAGCTGCACCCTGGGGAGGTTTAGATGGAGCCGAGGAACGATTCCTTCCCCAAAGGGTCGGGGCAGTGCTGCAGTCACCGTGCCGGGGGTGTGCACACGGTGTGGATGAGGCCCTGGGTTAGGGCTGGGTCTGGGGTGCTGATGCAGGAGGTGTTTGCAGCATGCTCCGGCTCCAGAAGAGGCTGGCCTCCAGCGTCCTGCGCTGCGGCAAGAAGAAAGTGTGGTTGGATCCCAATGAGACCAACGAGATCGCCAACGCCAACTCCCGTGAGTGCCATGCCCGTGGTGATGGGACAGGCAGGGATGTGGTGGGGACAGGGACAGGGACAGGCAGGGATGTGGTGGGGACAGGCAGGGACAAGCAGGGATGTGGTGGGGACAGGGGCTGGGACAAGCAGGGATGTGGTGGGGACAGGGGCAGGGACAAGCAGGGATGTGGTGGGACGGGGCAGAGGGGCAGGGACAAGCAGGGATGTGGTGGGGACAGGGACAAGCAGGGATGTGGTGGGACGGGGCAGAGGGGCAGGGACAAGCAGGGATGTGGTGGGGACAGGGGCAGGGACAAGCAGGGATGTGGTGGGGACAGGGGCAGAGGGGCTGGGACAAGCAGGGATGTGGTGGGGACAGGGGCAGAGGGGCAGGGACAAGCAGGGATGTGGTGGGACAGGGGCAGGGACAAGCAGGGATGTGGTGGGGACAGGGGCAGAGGGGCTGGGACAAGCAGGGATGCAGTGGGGACAGGGGCAGAGGGGCTGGGACAAGCAGGGATGTGGTGGGGACAGGGGCAGAGGGGCTGGGACAAGCAGGGATGTGGTGGGGACAGGGGCAGAGGGGCTGGGACAAGCAGGGATGTGGTGGGACAGGGGCAGAGGGGCTGGGACAAGCAGGGATGTGGTGGGACAGGGGCAGGGACAAGCAGGGATGTGGTGGGACTGGGCAGAGGGGCAGGGACAAGCAGGGATGTGGTGGGACAGGGGCAGGGACAAGCAGGGATGTGGTGGGGACAGGGGCAGAGGGGCTGGGACAAGCAGGGATGCAGTGGGGACAGGGGCAGAGGGGCTGGGACAAGCAGGGATGTGGTGGGGACAGGGGCAGAGGGGCTGGGACAAGCAGGGATGTGGTGGGGACAGGGGCAGAGGGGCTGGGACAAGCAGGGATGCAGTGGGGACAGGGGCAGGGACAAGCAGGGATGCAGTGGGGACAGGGGCAGAGGGACTGGGACAGGCAGGGATGTGGTGGGGACAGGGGCAGAGGGACTGGGACAAGCAGGGATGTGGTGGGGACAGGCAGGGACAAGCAGGGATGTGGTGGGACAGGGGCAGAGGGGCAGGGACAGGCAGGGATGTGGTGGGGACAGGGGCAGAGGGACTGCGACAAGCAGGGATGTGGTGGGGACAGGGGCAGGGGGGCTGGGACAAGCAGGGATGTGGGGACAGGCAGGGACAAGCAGGGATGTGGTGGGACAGGGGCAGGGACAAGCAGGGATGCAGTGGGGACAGGGGCAGAGGGGCTGGGACAAGCAGGGATGTGGTGGGGACAGGGGGCTGGGACAAGCAGGGAGGTGAAACCAGGACACTGAGAGTGTGAGGAAGCCCAGTTCCAGACCCGATGGGGGGGTCTCCAGTGATGGAGAGCCAGGAGCAGGAGGGGGCTTTGGGGAGGCAGGATTGGTGCCTGTGCATGGTTGGTGTTGGAGGTTTCTCTCCGCAGGGCAGCAGATCCGGAAGCTCATCAAGGATGGGCTCATCATCCGCAAGCCCGTGACCGTGCACTCGCGAGCCCGGTGCAGGAAGAACACCCTGGCCCGGCGGAAGGGCCGGCACATGGGCATCGGTGAGTCCAGCCCCATGGCTGCTGTGGGGCAGAGCCTCAGCCTGCGCTTTGTGTCTCCATGGTTTTCCTCTGGGAGCAAAGAGAAGGGTTAAACATGGTGGTGGTGGGGGGGTAATCCCAGCCACAGTGACAGGTTGGGTAGAGAAGAGATCCTGAGCAGCCTGAGGAGGTCTGGGGGGTGTTGGTCCATGAGAAACTGAACATGAGCCGGCTTCAGTGTGTGCTTGAGCCCTGAAACCAGCAGTATCCTGGGCTGCATCCAAAGCAGCGTGACCAGCAGGTCATGGAGGTGATCCTGCCCCTCTGCTCTGCTCTTGTGAGACCTCACCTGGAGCATTGTGTGCAGTTCTGGGGTCCTCAGCATAAAAAGGGCATGGAACTATTGGAACAAGTCCAGAGGAGGCCACGAGGATGCTCAGGGGCTGGAGCAGCTCCTGTATGAAGACAGGCTGAGGAAGTTGGGGCTGTTCAGCCTGGAGAAGAGAAGCTGTGTGGAGACCTCAGAGCAGCTTCCAGTGTCTGAAGGGGGCTATAGGGATGCTGGTGGGGACTCCATTAGGGACTGGAGTGACAGGACAAGGGGTAATGGGTTAAAACTGAAACAGGGGAAGTTTAGATTGGATATAAGGAGGAAATTCTTTCCTGTGAGGGTGGTGAGGCACTGGAATGGGTTGCCCAGGGAGGTTGTGAATGCTCCATCCCTGGCAGTGTTCAAGGCCAGGTTGGACAGAGCCTTGGGTGCCATGGTTTAGTGTGAGGTGTCCCTGCCCATGGCAGGGGGTTGGAACTGGATGATCTTAAGGTCCTTTCCAACCCGAACTGTTCTGTGAGGACTGTGTTGAAGGTGCAGGACTCCGGCTCCATTCCCATCCTGTTTTCCCTCTCCAGGTAAGAGGAAGGGCACAGCCAACGCTCGCATGCCCGAGAAGGTGACCTGGATGCGGAGGATGCGGATCCTGAGGCGCCTCCTGCGCAGATACAGGGAGTCCAAGAAGATCGACCGGCACATGTGAGCTCCCCACGGAGCACGGCACCAGGGATGATCCCAGCAGCAGGGATGAGGGGGTCTGGGGCTGCCTCACTGAGCCCCCGTTCCCTTCTGCTCCCTCAGGTATCACAGCCTGTACCTCAAGGTCAAGGGCAACGTCTTCAAGAACAAGCGCATCCTCATGGAGCACATCCACAAGCTCAAGGCGGATAAAGCTCGCAAGAAGCTCCTGGCGTAAGTGCTGCATCCACAACGGGGGGGGGTTCTGCTGCTGGTGGCTCCTTCTGGAGCCTGGGTGAGGAATGGAGCCAGAATGGAGCCCGAAGATGAGCTCTTAGGCAGAAGCTCTTCCCTGTGAGGGTGCTGAGGCGCTGGCACAGGGTGCCCAGAGAAGCTGTGGCTGCCCCATCCCTGGCAGTGTTCAAGGCCAGGTTGGACACAGGGGCTTGGAGCAAGCTGCTCCAGTGGAAGGGGTCCCTGCCCGTGGCAGGGGTTGGAGCTGGAGGAGCTTTGAGGTCGCTTCCAGCACAACCCATCCCCTGCTTCCATGATCCATTGATCCAGCTGGCTGGGGAGCAGGAGCCGGGGTGGAAGCTCTGAGGTGATCCCCACATGAACCAGCCCTTCCCCTCTTGCAGTGACCAGGCTGAAGCTCGTAGGTCCAAGACCAAGGAGGCTCGGAAGCGGCGCGAGGAGCGGCTGCAGGCCAAGAAGGAGGAGATCATCAAGACCCTCTCCAAGGAGGAGGAGACCAAGAAGTGACCGCTCCTTGCCTTGCGCACAGAGGATCCTCCTCCATCCACCAGCATCCAATAAAGCTCCAGAGCCCCGACTGCTCCCATGGAGTCTCCCCTCTTTCTCTGCAGGGTGTGTGTGATGGGAACAGCGCCTGCTCCCCACCTTGGTGCTCCTCAGCCACAGAGGGGAAGGGACAGGAGGGAGCAGGGGAGCTCCCACCCTCACCCAAGCGCCTCCTCACCCCTGTGGGTGCTGCCAGGGGCTGACCTCCCCCTGAGCTTTTAGAAGCTGGTTGAGCCCCATCACCACCCAACCCCTCCCATTCTCACCCTCCATCCCCATCCATCCCTATCCTTCCCCCCCCCCCAAACACACTCATTTTTGGGGTCCATCATCCTGAAACTCATCCCCCCCCAACACAGCAAAATCCAACCCAGACCCCCCATGATGCCACATCCATAGGGGATTCTCTTGAGAACAGGGAGCTCTTCTGGTTTAACTGAGCCCTGCGACAGCGCCAGCCCTGTGGGAGCAGCCACAATGGGCTCGGAAGCGCTGCTGCAGGTCTTGAACCACCAGAAAAGCCTCATTTGGGGTGGAACTGGGGCTCCCTGGCCCACAAGGGCTCAGTCGCTGCCCTGGGGAGGTCCCTGCTGCATCTGCTCCAGCCCAGGAGGGTTGAGGCAGCAAAAGCTTCTCAAGGCTCTGCCCATGGACCCATGGCACGGGCTGGGTGTGCAGGGAAGAGCCCTGGACCGAGGTCCAGTCCTGGGCCAGTGGATCCAGGACCCACCAGCTCCTCAGCCCCAAACCTCAGTGCTCCATGCCCGCTGTGGCCACCAAACCAAGGCAAGCCCCAGCCCGGAACACGCTGCCCCGTGCACCGGGGTTGGGTTTTGCTCTCCGAGTCCCTCCCGTGGTAAAACAGAGCTTGGAAAATGGTGTTTATTGGTATTTATAAATACAAACATAAAGGAAGAGTCCATCTGGAGACGGATTAAGTGACTTGCAAGGACACTGTCAAGTAGGTTTTGAGCTACCTTAATGCTGTCAAACCCTGTTTGGAAAACGACAACGAAAAACGCTTTGGGTTCTGTAGTCTGGGGAGTTCCCCCCCCCCCCTTGAAAACTGGGCTCTGCCACAAGGAAAAAAATCCATCAACTCCAGCTTGGAAATCCATCAGATCCAGCTTGGAAATCCACCAAATCCAGCTTGGAAATCCACATCAGCTCTGCCCTGCCCCGTGTGAGCTCAAGCTGTGCCAAGACACCCACTGCTGCTGCTGCCCCGGTACCATGGGAAGCGCCGTTTGTCCCCTGCCACCCTGAAACCTCGGGAGAAGGGAGCTGTGCAAAGGGAGGATGAGGAATGCTCGTGGAGGAGGCAGGGAATCCACCGGGAGCAAGGGATCTGAATAAATAGAATGGATTCAAAAGCCAGCTACAGGGGAAGGACCGAGAGCATCCTTGAGGCGGCACGAGGGGGCTCCTGTCAGCGGGGATGGGGAAGCTGGAGATGAAGGTGTTAAAGTGACCCTTCTGCCTGCCCGGATTGCTTGGAATGGTGGGAAGAGGGTGGGAAGCAACACAACGGCAAACCAACCCTGAGCCTCAAACGGACCCCTCGTGCTGCGCCCCACGGAATGAAGGCGCAGCATCACTTGTGGGGCCAGGCTGGTGAATGAACCCCAACCAGAGGCATCCATAAACACGGGTCCCCTCCAGGCCATGGCAGGAGGAGCACAACAATGGCCCCAAACCTGTGACAGCTGAGTTCTGCCCCATGAAACCCATCAGACCCCTGCCTGTTCGTGTTCCATACTGGCAGCACCTGGGCTCATCCCGCTGCAAACAACGGAGCAAGCTCCCCTTCCATCCACACCACTTACCTGTGCAAGGGGCACAAGCAGCAGCCCCCCCACAAGCGCTCACACAGAGGGTGATGACTCGAGGTGCGTTTTCAGGCTGCTCCTCCCATGGAGGGGGGGGTTCTTGAGCAGGGCAACAAGCAGAAAGGTTCTGCTCGGCTTTTCCTTGGGGATGAAGGAAGGGCTGGAGGGGGAGCAGGAGGGAGCCGGGGTTACGGTCACTGCAGCAAGGGTTAGAACTTGCTCCCCTACAGCACGAGTTAGATCCTTGTCACTGGGAGCAAAACCTGAAAGGCAGAAGAGATCTGGACCCCCAAGCACTGATGAGAAGGGGCTGCGCGGGGGGCAGCTCCCTTGTCCTTCGGCACCCTCCTAGCAGCTCCCTCCAGGCTCAGGCTGCTCACGGTGGGAAGCACTCGCTGAAAGCCTCATTCCTGCCTTTGTGGATGGGGCACCTCCAAAAGTGACTGAATTAGGAACGTGCCAAAGCGAACCCAAGCAGGATGCAGGGAGGGGAACCCCCCCTTCCCCGGGCCCAGGGTTCGAGCTGGATCACAATGACCTAGGGAAGCCTCTGAGGATGCTACGGAGCACACAAGAGATGAGCGCTGGCCCCGAGCGTGCTCCTGGTGCTCAGCAGGGGAGCAGGGCTCAATCCTGCCTCCCGGCAGCTGCTGCCTCATCCCCTCGCTGAAGAATGGACACAAGGACTTGGGGGGTGGGTTCAGGTTTGTTTCCTTTGTTTCCCCTCTGGACAAGAGGTTAAAGCCTGCTCCTTCTCCCCCTTCCCCATGTCCAAGGGTTTCCTCTTCCAACCTTCCACAGCAGCGACAGGCGGGGGCTCACCGCAAGCCTCCCCTCCTGCCCGCTGCGATCCCACCTGAGCAGGGCCCAGCGGGAATGGTTCCCCAAGGAGCCCAATCCACCTAGAGAGAAAGCCAAGAGAGCTCCAGCTCCCACAGCGCAGAGTTCAGCGGCTCGCTGGAGCGCGGCGGGGACGGGGAGGGGTGTCTATATGGATGGGGATGGGTGGCTACAGGGGCACCACAGCCCTGCTCACTGCCCCTTGCAAATGACACTGGTATCGCTTTCCTCGGAGGTCCTGGTGTCCCCCGTGCCTCTACAAGGGGGTTGAAAGACTCAGTTTGCTGGAGGAGCACGGCCGCTGTCATAGGATGATGCAGCATCTGCAGAAGCGCTGTCTGCTGCCTCCCACCGACGGAGGTGGAGTCACAGGAGCGAAGTAAGCGTGGACTCTGATGTTGGGTAAATGGGTCTGGAAGGCAAACACAAGGAGGGGGGGTGACCGACAGGGTGATTTTCCCCTTTTCAGTTCATTCTGGTACTGGCAAAGAGAGTTACAGGGGATAAACAAGTGATGCCCTTTCCTCCCCCCATCACTCCTGGGCTAGCTGTGGGGAACAGAACAGCTCCTCACTGTGCACAGCCATGGCCTCCAAGAGAGTAAAGCGCTGTCATTGCTCCTCTTACCCAGGACACAGTCATGGAATGGTTTGGGTTCTCCAACCCCTTCCACTGGAGCAGCTTGCTCCAAGCCCCCATGGCCTTGAACACTGCCAGGGATGGGGCAGCCACAGCTTCTCTGGGCACCCTGTGCCAGCGCCTCAGCACCCTCTCAGCTCGAGACACAGACCGAGGAGGGGAGCACTGGGACATGGGGTGCTTTAGGAGCACCCTGGCTCTGTCCCACTTGAGCCCCTGCAGCCAGCTGCCTCTAGTACAGGATTATCCCTGTGAGTTATACAGGAAGGGCCAATACAGTGCACTGCAATCCGCACGGAGGATATGAGGCAGTGGAGAGGAGGTGCCCCTGCTGCGATGCAAGCCAGTGCCACCTGTGAAACGAGTGGACACAGCAACAACCCCTTCCCTCTGAGCCAACCCGAGCCCTGTGGGTGCACAGCAGCCACTGCATCACCAGCTGATGGTCCTCAGCCCTCCCTCCTGGCCCCGAAGCCCCGCTCCTCACCCTGAGTCTCTTGATGCCGGCGCGGGTGATCTGCTGGCAGTCGTACAGCTCTATCCTCTCCAAGCTGTGGCAGCTCTTCAGGTGCTCCAGGGAGGCGTCCGTGATCAAGGGGCAGTTGTCCAGCTCGATCACTTCCAAGCGGTCGTGGGCGCAGGCGCCGTTGCCCAAGTGCCGGATCCCGTCGTCCGTGATGAGCTCGCAGTGGGACAAGCTCTGCAGCGAGCACAGCCAGGGTGAACCCAACCTCCCCTCTGGCAGGTTAAAGCCATTCCCCTTGGCCTGTCCCTACATCCCTTGTCCCAAGCCCCTCTCCAGCTTTCCTGCAGCCCCTTCAGGCACTGGAGCTGCTCTCAGGTCTCCCCTTCAGGAGCCTTCTCTTCTCCAGGCTGCCCCAGCCCAGCTCTCTCAGTATCACACAGGGCAGACTGAGCCTCAACTCCCCCATATTCCAACCTAGAGGAACATCACTTTCCAGAGCCAGGCCCCAGCTCCGTAATACAGGTGGGAAGAGCTGCAGCCTCCTCTCCTATGGATGCAGAGGAGGGAACAAGAGGTTCTCTGGGTCAAGTTTCCAGCTGAACTCTTCCAAAGCCTTCAGAGAACATCCATGAAGGCAAAGAGACAAATCCCCACAGGCTGCCCTTCAAATCCCCCTGTTTGTAGCACAGGAAACGCTGGAAGTCTCCCTTGGAACACTCACCAGAACCTGAAGCCGTGGACAGTGTATGGAAAGCTGGATTAGTGTGCTGTCTGTTATCTGGAAGAGAGGGAAAAAGCCCTTTTCAGGCTGGGTGCTTTGCTCAAGGCCTTCTCCCCTCCTGTGAGAGGAACACTGCAAAGCTGGCCTCATCCATGGCAGAGTTCCCCCGTCCTGAGCCCCAATTCCAGGTTCTTCCCCCTCCCTTCCAGCAACCACCTCAGGTTTTCCTGAATAAACTGGAATAAGCTCACGTGAAGCAAGCGAGCAGAGCTCCATCCCATTCCAAGGGCTCTGGTGCACTGCCCCATTGCTCCCCTTTATCCCTCAGGGAGAGAGGATGCGAGCCTGGGAGGGGAACTGCCTGCGATGCCTTTGCTCAGAGCCCAGTTCTTCCTTTCCCGGGTTCACTTTGAAGCAGCTCCTGCCTGGACCAGTGCCACTTCCCCCTGTGATGGCCTCAGTTCCTGCCCTGCGCGCATCGGGAAGGCCGGGATCCTGGGCTCCTGCTGTTCCCATGGCAGGAAGCAATCCCCGCT